GTGCTAGATTATTTAAAACTGTATATATTGTATTTTTATTTTGGCTCTTGATTTTTTCCGGTGCTTGCATTGGCCCCATTGTGCGAGAGACATTGTCGATTCGCTGAGGCACTTGATACGTACATACATTGCCAATGGCACTGAAGGCGGGAAATCGTTTGCTCGTAGATTCTATGGAGCCAACTTTTTGACAATTGATGTGCGCACATACTTATAAGTCAGACTCACGGCAGAGGCGCCCACAGACAGAGTATGGCTGGGGCCACACCAGGCGTCCCAGTTGCCGTCAGACAAATTGCAATCGTCGTCTTCTTCATCGAACTTATTCCACGCACACACACGGACACATACACATACACACGCACAGACATAGACACGGACACGGACATTGATATGCTCGTTCTGGAGGCATTGCTCAGTCAATTTCGTTCCAGAAAACCGAGGTAAATTCAATTGAGTTGAGTTGAGTTGAGCTGAGCTGAGCTGAGCAGCCGGGCAAGTTGATCTGAGCCAGCGCACTCAGATAGCTACAATGGCGCTTAATTCTCAGCGATGCAGCTAACGGCATTGCAAAGGTAGCAGGTGGGTGAACAGTGGGAAATGAGATAGGAAAACTCATGGTATATGACTCGAGTTTACAAGACTTTTCACTTTTACTCAAACTTAAGACATAGCCGAGCCAATATAATTTCCAAAGCTTTGCGATTGGCTTATAAAGTCTGCCGTCGCGACGGGCACAGACGTTCCACAATAACAAGTTATATACTATATACGTATATATATATATATATATTTGACATTTAGATTGACTTGGTGCTGAAGCGATTTTTAGCTGAGGCAACGCAAGTGCGGCACTACATGAGATGAGTATGTGGCTTAGCACAGGTGCACAGGGAGTCTACACACACCTAAGGGTCTATTGTCGAATAACTGGGATACTACTCACCCGCCTTGCAGGGGTCCATATCGATATCGTTGGATACTTTCGGTGTCACATGCATGTGCAGCAGCTGCTCGATGCTGTATTTGCTGTGATAGGCGCGACGATTGTTCAGCTGTGACACATGGTGCAAGTGAGGCTTGTGCTGCCCGTGGACATGCTGATGATAAGGATGAATGGCAGCTGCGTCTTTCACGTGCTCTTTGACGAACTCGTTGTTGTTGTTGTTGTTGCTGTCATCGTTGTTGTTCTTGTTGTTGTTGTTGTTGTTGTCACGCTCAGCCTTGTCAATGGCAACGTTACTCAACTGCGGCTCCTCATGCAGCTTGGCGCTTTTGACATGCGCTGAGATTAACACCAGCAGCACTGTGGCCATCAGCAGGGCGTAGTTCGTATAGCTCATTACCCGGCCACCGCGTCCGGCTCCGAGCCGGCTCTGCAGCGCCATCTGAGCGTGCTCTCTGCCTCTTCTTCTGCTGTTGCTGCTCTGCACGTTCTTCGCTTGTCAATCGTCGGCGTGTTTTGTTCTTGACTTTCGTTGGCTTTCCGAGCTCTGCTTATCGCCTCCGTCTAACCCAGCTCACCAGCGCTGCATTCTCGCAGTGCACGTGGACTGAAATGAGCACGGAAAAGCTGAGTTGAGAGATGAGTAATTATGCGAGGTAAGGTAATACATTGAGAATTATGTACATATATAGTGAATCGGCTAAAACTAGCTTATTTTGGATTTCATTCATAGAGCAAGGCTGATCACTAAATTCATCTGTTTGTCTGTATAAAATATATATGCCTATGTCAATGTACATGCTGTTGATAACCCCAACCCCTTGTATGAAATATTTGTTTACGTCGTTGCTTCCATTGACCACTCACATAAGATTAACTTTATAAGCTCAGTCTAAGAACCGTTTGTACTAAGCATTTCCATTCGCATTTCCATTAGTTGCTTATTTTGTTTACTGTTGAGATCGACACTCTCCGATAATAGCACTCGCTGCTTATGCTGAGCAAGGCTTGTACAAATTTGTCCTCTGGCAGTATTATCTGTTCAAACTCTGCTTAATCCGACCATATTATAGACTGTAGCAAAAACACGGAACAGGCAGAGCCAAAGCGAAAGCCAGCAGTTGGCAACAATCAATGCACAGCCGGTATCTAATTTACATACATACATATGTGTGGGTGTGCATATCTGTGTGTGTGTGTGTGTGCATGTGAGTCTGTGTGAGTAAGATTGTGTGCTCACATCTGTGCACAATTTGTGTGCATTTACTCGGAATGTTTCTCTGCCCGTTGTCATAGCATATTAAAAACAAAAAAGGTGTAAAATTTTAATATGCAAATGTGTGAGGGGCCTGAAGAGAAAGAGGAAGACAAAGCAGTCTAGGAGTGAACTGAGGACTGACGGCAGGCAGACGGCCATCGACCTGCACTCTGCACTCTGCAGGCTGCAGGCTGCAGCTCATAAACCGTGGCTGGCTGCCGGCTGTCGATCAGATTAGCACTCAATTAACTTGAGTTGAAGGTGTCGCAGCAAGGGCGCACGCTGGACGGGCAATGTCAGCCGCTTAGAAACACACTCACACAGACAGACAAACACAATGGCAGGTAATTTAAAATCGCTTAGGCCATTTATACCATGGCGACCTTTTGGCAAACTTTGGCTGCCAATTGAATACAGAAAGAGAAGGAACAAAATAAAAACCTTTTCAATTAACTAAAATGTTGGGGCTGCGCCATTATCGCCCTGTAAATGCGCCCCAACCCTGGACCAGCAGCAGCCGCAGCAGCAGCAGCAGCAGCAGCCAGGCTCAAGTGAATGTTGGCAATTTCATTAAATCATTTAATTTCCGGCGCGCACAACGAACAATTACAACAACTCTAATTCAACAAAGCAAATCAAGTGCCGGTCTGGCATTTTATGGCAAATTAAGTTGGCTTCTGTGGAAGCAGGCGGCAGCCACAGACTTAGCCAGCTAGCAAATGGCAAATAAAGCCAGAGACAATTCTAGCAGCAACCCTTGGCAAACTTGCCGACGATAACAACAATCTAGACAATCTCAACAGGAACAAAAGCTCGGCAGCTACAGCTGTGGGCCACGCAAAAGAGTGCAACATATTTTCTTAATTTCATTTCATTCCATTCCATGGTGCTCACTGTACACGCAGCCAAAGGCAGACCTTGTTTTCATAATGCTCGGTCGCCTAATTGCGCATACGCCGCATGAGCGCGAGGCCTTAATGTGGCACCGTCTGCTCATTTGGGCCAAATTATAAATTCCATTGATTAATTCTCAGCTCAGCATGTAAGTTCATTTGTTATTTGTCTATGGCCTATAGCCAGGTCTTGGACGTCAGCTTTTCCGTGCATTTTGCGCTCTGAGTCCGCTGTTTATCTCCCAAGAGAAGAGCACCCACATCGACCTGCCCGCTTATCAGCGGTCAACCTTGCGAAGAGCAACATGTCACAAACGTAAACAAATTAAAATTTCATTGCTGTGGCTCTGGAATTTTATAAATAACAGTGCATAGGTTGCAATGTGTTTTGAGGTTTTTTTTTGTTTTGTATTTTTATACTTGTTTACGAAATGA